AAATATAACATATATACCTATATATATAATATATATATATATATATATATATAAAGGCTTTATAAACCCTTCCTACACTCTTGAAATGTTCCAAACTCTTAAACCTACGTTATTTTAACGACATACGTACCGGTATATATACTGTACAGTAGCTACTGCAAAATTTTATATGAGTATTCACCAGCCTTGGTCCGGTAAAGGTCCGGTTCTGATCGGCTCTTCAGCCGTTGAGCACCAACACGCTTTTAGAGAGAGCCGGACCTTCGTATAGCCAGCACAAAACCACAAAATAGTCCCGATTGAGTCCAAATAACCCAGAGGGAAGTCTGGGTGAGCTCTGAAGAAGACAGTGGACTCCCAAGCAACGCCTCCCCGCTCGAGAGGCTTCATGGGCCAGCAAGCAGCACTATGATTGACAGATGAGGCTGGAAGTAGTCCTGGTTCGGTTCTGATCGGTTCTCTGCATTCACTGAGCACCAAAGTCACTATGAAAAAGGACCTAACTTAAAGCAGGGGAGTCCAGTCCCGGTCCGTAAGGGCCACCATCCTACATGTTTCAGAGGTTTCTCTGCTCCAGCACATCTGATCTGGATCAACAAGTGATTCTGCAGAACACAAAGAGCTGATTCCACCTCTCAATCAGGTGTGTTGGAGCAGGAAACAAGTCCCACATGGAAACTCTCCAGGACTGGACACCCTTGTTTTAAAGGATCACAGGAAAGTCTGGAGGTTCAGACTCCTTCTTCTCCTCCTCTGCTGTAAATGATGTGCAGCATTTACCAGGTTTGTGTGCGTTTGTTATGCTCATCCATGGGATCTTGTGGTTCTGCTCAGATTGTTGCAAACATCACAGGATGCGACGACTCGAGCTCAGAGGAGATGGTCCGCTGCTTCAGGGGCAAAAGTAAAGACGAGCTGATCGCTGCAACCAAAAAGGTAAACAGACAAAGCCATCGTGGATCCGCTGTTTGGTTGGACCCAAACGTTTCTGGGCTTCACAGAGGACATAACCCAACATAATTATTCAATCTGAACAATCATCTGTAAAACATGTGAAACCTTCAGTTCTAAATCTGACGAGGTTAAGTCTGGTCCTCTGGATGGATTCTCCTTCCAGAGGACCAGACTTAACCTTTGTAGATTTTTCTACCTGGATTATTGAGCATGTCATGTTTTAGAACGAAGTGTCCTGAAGCTAAAGGACACTTCAGTTCTAAAACTGAACTTCCCTGATTTCTGAATCACTCTGTGTTTTTAATTGTTCTATAGACTGCACTTTTTACTGGATAGTTTATAAAATATATTTTACTGTTAATTGCATCTATTTTTATTTTTATTAAATTATTTGAATATGGATTTTTTTTTTCACATACGTCCAGTTTGGATGTTTGTTGTTTAAAAGTTTTGGATCAGGTGTAGTCCAAGATAAGTTTCTCTATGGGGCAACAATTTCTATTCTATTTTATTCTATTCTATTCTATTCTATTCTATTCTATTCTATTCTATTCTATT